CCATTGTATAATACATACACTTCAGGAAAGCCTGACTCCTGATGAAATGATTTCCAAACTTCCTGGAATGAGGATCTTTTAAGATGGAACATGCTAAAGAGTTGTATTTATGTGTGCATATGCATGTCTGCATGCATGTGTTTATTTTTTTCTGACTGACCAGTTCTATTTGCTCAACGAACCATTTGCAGAACTGTAGAGGAACAAACAACTGAATAATCAAGAAGCTAAGAATCTGTGAATTAGGACAGCTGCTGGCTTTCTAACTGCTGAAAGCTCCAAAAGAAAACAAACTTTTGTAAATGGACTCTATTCCCCCTTGCAAATCAAAAGATAACTCTGAAAACCCTGATGCTTGTAAAGTAAAATCTTTTTGAAACACTTCGTATTTTTGTTACAAGATATGCTGCATGCCCAAGCCTCCTCTGCTGAAGGTTTTCTATTAATTGGGCTCTCAGCCCAATAGTGGGCTCTCTGACTCTAGCCTTCACTTGTCTACCATAGCTGTGATGGTTAAAAGCTTCTCCGGTTTGTCACAGAGTTTAATATGCACCCTACATAATTATGCAGGATTCACTGTGCTATCAAACTGCAATTCAAATTAGTTCAGGATTAAAGGCACAGAACAGTACTGCTTCCTTAATTGCATTGTACTGTGCTGATCACATTCAAATACCCATTACTCATTCCCTCTGTGGAGCAATAAGTCAGGGGGATTAATATTCAGGCAGGTGACAGGGCCAAGCCATTAAAAGGCAGTTATGCAGAAAGCATGGCTGGTTTTATTCACGTTAATGAAATCAGTGAAATGAAACTGTAATAGATTTATCAAAGCTCAGATGGATTTGCTGTAAATCAGTTTGATTCAAGCAATCAAACTGGACAATAGAGATAGTTTTCAGCTCTAGCAATGGGTGTCAGAAAGCAGCATGTGAAAAGTGCTGATATTCTTCATGTATGGATTTGATATCCACCTCGTGTACAGGCCTATTCCCAAACCACGGCTGCTAATTTTTTTGTCTTTTGAACTAGGTGCTAGTGGCTGATAAAACATACAGCATATCATCTTAATACAGCACTTACACTGTTTTTATTCCTCGTTTTTAAGTTCCAAAAACACCAATTTTTTCTAGCTGCTTGTAGGTGGGAGAAGGAAAGTTTGATAGGACAAATGAGCATTGCTGTCCCTCTACTGCCCAGAACAGGAGCACAACTTCAGCCGGAGTGACTACGCAGTAAGTGCAAACATCTCCTATAATCAGCACATGTGCAAAGAGAAATATGATCAGATCACAATTTGCAGGTGATAGGTTGATGCAGGAGTCTTGAGAAGCTGAAAATTTACTTTTGTTTTGGATCTAATGAAATAATTTGGTATCCATTAGAGGGCAGCATAAGAACAAAAACTAAGCACAGTTTAGGAGGTATCCCTTACAGATAGAAAAGCACCTTTGTCGAGGTAAACTTTTCAATGCAGACATATTTTCTGAGTGTAAAGTCAATGGGGATAGAAAGCTAAGTAATGGAGGAGATGGGAGCAAAATCCACTGTTAGAGAAAAAATGAGGCCAGGAAACACATATGCCAATTTAGTTCTAGGGATTTTTCATGCCACACGTTAACTCCATCCATACTTCTCCCTTCTTTTTGATGCAGAAGTGGTCTTCTCTTTCGCTTAATAACTTCAGGTATTTTACGTATGGTGTTTCTGATAGAACTGCAATGAATTGTAAAATGATGATCATGTTTTTGTTTACATAAAGAAATGGAAGTATATTATACTAAAACTACTCTAATTGGTTTAATTTTTAATTATTAGAAACAAATTGTTCAAGAACTAAAGCCAGTTTTTAATGATCCAAAACAGAAATAAATGTTCTAGTCTATTAGTACCCTATGTGGAATAAATCAATATTAAAACTAATTAACCCTTTTCAAAGGCATTTTGTCCCAGGTTTTTATTTAATGGTTCAGTGCTGCTTAAAGGATGGATCAAGCTGGATAAGCTCCATTTAAAAAATGGCCCATTTTGAAAACAGTTTAGCAGCTCACTATGACAAATATGTTTATCAGGATAAACTTGGCTTTTCAACTATCTAAATAACTGCCTATGGTTCCTTAAATGATCTGACAATAAAATAGAAAATAAGGGCAACACCGAATTCTGTTCATTTGGTAGTAACATTGTAACACTGTAGGTGAGTTTAGTGCTTTTAAATACATTTTATCTTAGAAATATTTGCAGTTTTTATTTTTAAGGGTATTCTTCACAAAGACTGGAGTGAAGAGAGGTCCCTATACAAATTATTTCATTCTAGGTCATATGTGAAATGAAAGCCTACAATTTGTCCTTTTTGGAAGAAGCCATGATATTTTAATAGTGTTCAAATACATAGTGAAAAGCATACACCTTTCAGGACATAAATGACTACTTTGACATATGAAACAATGAAAATTGTATACTTTAAGGAATTTAGTACTCTTCACGTCTGCTATAGTAGCAATCAAAGGATTTACCTTAATATTGAGCTATATTTTATTTATAAAACAGAAGAAATATTTTGAACATTAATTAAATCCTTCACAGTACCAGAGGAATTTGTAATGTTATGAAATTTTGATTAGCCTGCTGTAAAATCAGAATTGTTTACCATAAGTGTCTGGATTCTGCCTCTGTCTTTCCAAACAAATAATGAAATGAACTGGAGCATGGGGGAGAGGGATTTATGAAAACATGGTACATCCTAATTTTGCCATTTTTCTGCAATAAGGATGGCAAATGACTCATGGGATAAAATGAAATATTTCTCACTGTCATTTCAATGGATCTAAGATTTACAGCTTCTTACCTTGGAAAGGAAAAACTCCATATGCATAAAAATGAATTGTAAATCCATTAATGATGGGCATGAAAAACAAAAAAATGACATTGAAGCAACAATGAAAAAAAATCTAAAAAGTAACAACTAAAACGGAGGAATTACTATTTGTCTAAATCTTTGGAAGCAAGACCTAGCTTACTTAAATGTCCTTCTTTACAGGAGGATACCAAGAGCAGATTAAAGAATAGTAATATATTGAATGAGCTCATTACAACTAGAACAGATAAAACCAGATATCCCTAAATGGAACTTTAAAAAAACTAATAATGGAATTTAGATATAGTTCGATAGTGTAAAGCTGAAACAAACCCTGTGTGAAAAAATTACTCGCCAATTTAAGATTCTCCTTAAGCAAAACTGTTCTATAGATATCAGAGGCAAAAATAAATAAATAAATAGATTTCTCCCTATTTATCCATCTACTTATCATGTCCCAAACCCTTGAGAAAATGAAAGAAAGCCAGCAATAATCAATGAAGATGAAATGCATGACCCTATTTCTATAGGAGCCACCACACCTCGAAATGAGTGCAGCAATCCTCTTAAGACACATAGCAGTGGAGCTTAAAGGTTCAGAACTGTGGAACCACCTATGCCAAGTGGCATGCTCTAATATTCAAGGCTGGATCTATGTGATTTAATTCTCCTGTCTCTACAATGAAATATGATATATTACCTACATTATAACATTGTCAACCTTACGTTCAAGTAACTTCAATGTGAGTAACTACTGTAGAGTACGGTAAGCCATTCAAGTCAATGCCAAATGTGGAGAACAAAAATGGTACTGTTAATCCTGCTAAAGCAGTATTTTACTTAGATCACAGGAATCTTATAATGTTGACATGTATTTAACAAATACAAAGATACCTACTAATTTTTGCCCAAGGCCCACATCCTTCTTAGCACAGAACTTGCATAACTTGTCTGTGGTATCTTCATTGGTCACATACATCATGTTCTATGTCTGTATTTCACAAGTTAGGAAGCTAATTAAAGACCTAAAATACAAAGCTCAGGAACAAAAGGATCATCAGTGTGTCTTTTACATAAATTCCCTCATTATGAGGATACCAGATCAATTTAAAACTGCTGCATCTTTCCTTCATAAGACAAATACCATCAAGCAAAATCTGCCATCAGTGATAATGCATTGTTGAAAAAAGTTATAAAATATTCATGCTACTACCCTATTTCCCATCTTTTTTGGGACCATCTACTTTACTCATTTTGAAAACTGGGGGCACTACTTTGACAAATTTTATGTTGACAAATTTTAAAGTGCTTTCAAATTTGATAAGCTCAATTGATGAAAAATGTTTTGAACTGTTTTTTGTTTTTTTTTTCCCAGGAACTGAACAAACAGTTCATTGTTCCGAGTCTGTACGGGAGTCATTGCTTAGGATTTTTCTATGTAATTTCAAAGAACCTTTAGTAGCTCACAAATGTCCTTGACCACACTGAACCAGGAAGTAGCATCCCTAAACCACAAATAGAGAATATACTTCATGCACAAGAGCAAATTAAAACCTGTAGAATAACACATGCATTATAAAATTTGCCCAATATTAAAACTGATAACAGCTTTACTGATTTACTGACAATGAAAATATATAGCATTTTTTTCTGTCAGAGCATTTATCAACACTTGGCAACCCAGCACTAACTTGACATGTAAGATGATCAAAATGGATTATGTAATCTTTCCCATTCATTTCTATTGATTTTAGTTATGATAAAATTCATCAGTGTGCCTGGGAATGCATAGGCTGAAAGCTCTGGTTGGGGAAAATAAAGCGGGGGTGGGGGAAGAAAAAAGAACTCAACTGAATTGTAATAGCATGAATGTAATTTTAGAATAGGATTGCACAGATACAGAAGTCATGCTGTAAAGGCTGCAGCAACAAATTAATGCAAATAATTCTGGTAGTCTCATGAAATTACATCTATCTATCTACATCTAAATAGTTCGCTTTTGAGATAAAGTTACAAAATTCTAAGCTAATATAACATGTGTCATTAAAACAGTTTCTCAAGATATTTTCAAACTTTTTAAAGAACTTCAACAGTAATCAAAGTTATTTGTCTGACTGTAAGTAACATCAAATACCAGCAAATGGACCATTTTAATCAGTTTTATTGAGTCATGCTTTCAGTTCTTATTCAGTTAAAAACAAGGCACATTAAATATATCTTATTGCTCTATAAATGCATGCAGCTCATTCTGTATATCAAAGGTAATAAATAATGGCGATAAAACACCAAGACAGTTATAAAAATGACAACCCAGCCTCAAACATAGCATTTAACAGTCCAATCTAGAACAATAACCCAAAACAATACATAAAAGTGCCACATATAAAAGCATGCAGTGTGTATATCGACTCCAGTACATAGCTTGCTTATGCCTGATATTCTCTGAAAATATAGTAGCTTTTTTTTATTCCCTAGAAAAGGTTGATATAATGCAAAACAGTGCAACTTATAGTCACTGACTTTCACATGATTACATTAATATGCCAGATACCAGGGATTCAACTCATGATCTTGCACTTGCCAGGTAGGCGCTTATGCCACTAAGCTAAATCCCTGGCCCCAAAAAATCTTTACAAATACATAAAAAGAAGAAAATAAAATCAATGTCCTTACAGTGTATTAGTGAAAATCAGACTGAAATGTCTGTGGTGCAAAAGAAGAAACTACACATTTTGAACAGACAAAACACAGCCAGAAACTAATGCAGAATAAAAAGCATGCATTTAATAGTAGAAATTCTAAAGTGGCACTCAGATAAAACTGAAAGCTAGAACACTGAAGCATGATGAATTCGAGGCAAATGACCTTCAGTTGACAAATAATCCAGCATTATCACTGCTGTTATGACTGAGGTGGGAGCTATTTAAAGGAGTGGCCAACTCTCCAGCTCAGATGGGCGTTCCTTCACCTGAATCCCCTCAGATGCTCTTCAAACAGATCACTCAGAGGTAAAAGGGAATCCCTGCACGCTCACCCCAACAGAATCAACTACTATCATGTTTATACAAAAGAAAAAAAAACATTGTTTCGTGCTTAAAATGTTTTGAAGGAGCTTATTCTCCTATTTCTTTCCTCTTTGCTTAATCCAGAGACAGAAGCTTTGCAGGTGTAAGAATTTATACAATGATGCCTGGTACTTTAGTCACAGTAATGGCCTAAAACCAATTCATTTTCAAAATGAGTCTCTGGGATTGGTGAAGGAGCATACATTTTAGAATTTGCAGTTTTTAAGCAAAAGCAGATATGCTAAAACGAAGACATGGGGAATTTCTTTGACCTTAAAGGAACTTCATTCATAGCAAAACGTGCACAATCAAGGCCTGTTTGAAAAACACAGATTTGCCCAAACCAGTCACACTGTAAGCCCAGTCCCTACTGTAACAGAATCAGAGGGGACACAAGTCACTGTTCTCTTGATCTAACTGGAAAAAAGGAGAGAAAAAAAGGAGAGAGAGAAACAATACAATGTTGTGGTATATGATCTGGATGTCTTAAAGGACAGCTCTACTACCTATTTAATACCATGGAGGTCTAAACAGTAAATTTATTGCCTTGGTAGAAAAACACTACATTGCAAAGTCACATGCTTATGTTTTCTTTTTTAAAAGCTAAAGTAAAAAATTCACACTTTGAAAGAAAAAAAATTCATAGTGACACCTGAGAGCATCATCACTCTTTTAGATTTTCCTTTAGGAAGCAGAATCTACACTTCATTTAAAAATGAGTTAAAACACTGTTTCTTCCTGTGATTTGTTTGTTTCAGAGGTGGTGGGTCGGGCCTTGGTTAAGTGAGCCTCTAGTTCATATTATGACATACAAGTTCATCACCTACCTGAGTGAAGCATAAAGATATTCTACAATGTTAACATAAATAGAAATTATAGCACAGAAGTGTTTTATGTACCAGTTTAAAAAATAAGACCTCAATGTGAAATGAAGACCCACCATAAGATATAGTTTTGCTTCCTATGACATATAGAAACTAATCTTTAAAAAAAATACTGTAGATAGTAAGTACAATTAATAAATATTAAGAAGACTAGTTAAAATGCCAACAAAATACAGCAAAAGCATTCCAAACTGGCATTTTTACTTGTTAAATTCAATGTACACTGATTTTTGGTTTTAGTCTGTGTGTTGGGTGTGATTTTTGTTTTCTTTTGTTTATTTTTGGTCATCTGAGAGTTTTTCCACAAAGTACAGAAAGAGAAAAATGCCAAGCAGTATGATTAGCCTCTGATATTGAAATATAGTACCTTATTTTACATATTAAAAAACTGGCATCTATTCTATTCTATTCATATTTACCTGCTGTAAATAATCCCCTAAAAAGGTCAGGTTTGACAATATCACTTGTTCCAAAATGTAGGATTTGGGGGTGGAAAATTTTGTTATATGTGAGTTTAATAAACACATGTTCTTAACCATAAACGTATTAAATTGTAAAGATGAGAAAATTATAGTCTCATTCCACTGAATCCAACTTGCCACTTAAAATGCTTGTTTTAAAGTAAGAAAAGCAAAGATCTTTCTGGCAACTATAATAGTAAAAGCAAAAAAAAAAAAAAAAAAAAAAAAAAAAACCAGCAGTGAGTGCCTGGGGAAAAACTATTGAGATGAAGCTATCACTGTAACTCCCAGTAAACCAGTAAATGCCAATGCCATCCTTATTGTCTACCTGCAACTCTGGAAGCTTTCAGAGTTTTACTTTGAGACTTGTAAACAGATCTAAACTTTTTCTTCCCTCTCAGGTTATGCCAATCATGCTGAAAATATAAACTTGTGCAATACTGTTTAGAAAAGATAGACAAAAAGAAGAATGGGGCTATCATTTCAACAGGTCACTCTTTTTAAAAAGAAATACTATTCTACAAACTCAATGTCCAAAGTTTTGTGTGTTTCACAAAACTTTTCCAGCTTCTTTCTTCAATTTCTGCCAAAATATTCTGCCTCTAGAGCTAATTTATAGTAAATACACAAATAATCAAGGAGGAAGAGTATTAAGTCTAACAGGTCACAAAATGAATGTAAAACATGAAATCAATATGCACTGAAAATGAAAAAATACACCTTTGGAAGCCAGACTGAATGGTAAATACAAATAAAGTTTCATTCAATTAGGTTGGTAAGTATACCAACATCCTAATATTTTGGAATGTTTTCCAGTGTTAAAAAAAAAAAGCAGCTACACAGCCACTATTTTAGAGTGATTTAAGTTCTCTCTGGTTGTTACACAGTGATCTGTTGTTCCTATTTTTGTTGGCTGTGGATGTACTGGTCAGACTCACAATCCTCCACAACTACGGTCCACAGGAATTAGAACTCTTCGGTCGAGGTTCTCTTCTGCAGTTTTCATTAGTATAGCAAGCCGGCTTCCAGACACCCTTCCTTTCTGAATAGCACTCATCAGCTTCAAAAGAAAATACACAACAGATTCAGAAAGCAGGCCACAGTATTCCCTTCCTTCCAGCTCTTCACGGATACCACTGCAGCAGGCAGGTGCAACTGAGTGCTCCATTAACAACCACAGCAAATACTGCAGCTAAAATAATGAAGTTTTTAACGCTTTAAAAAGGGGAAAGGACATGTATTTCATCACTGCTGCAAAAATGACATCTACCTGTCAAATGGTTCTGTCTTTAAAAGTAAATACAATGTGTTACTTTTTGTTCCTTAATGGGCTTGGGCAGGACGCAATGTTTTTAAGCCATTTCAAATACTGGGTCTTTAATTGCATTGAAAAATCTTAAAAGAGTACCTCAAGGATTGAAGAAAAACAAACTATGACCTATATTTATCCTTTTTTCAGTGTTACTATACTTAACTAATTCAAGTTCCCTAAATCCAAATTCCTTAAAGACTTTTAAAAGTAATTTACTTTTAAGTCCTTGAAAATGGACCCAGAGACTTACCCTAAAAATTAAAAGCACTCTACAGCCCAGATTTTAGCTAATTCATTTTATCCAATGGATAAAATCAGAATTAGTCTTGAAATTACATGTAGTCAGCAGGCAAAGGCCTTTAATCTGGAAAGCACCTTGCAATTATGAACATAAGGATTTTTTTCTTCCATTTGAAGTTGATGTGGTTTCAACTATTTGCTTTTCTTGATTTCATTTCACCAATCTTTTTTTTTAACTTTAGGACAGAGTTATATATCAGAAAAAATACATATAAAAATTAGTGAAATATTTTTAAGTTACAGCTTTTAGCCTGAGGGATATATTTCTTTACAACAGCTCTCAAAAGGAGTCAGAGGCATCAGCCAAGGGGCTGGATCAGAATTTCATGACCTTATTAAAAGCTGTTTCACAAGTGATTGCTTATTAGAGTTAGACTCCTACATGCAGAAGTGTCATTAAAGCCCAAATCTGGAAATGAAGTCATGTAACTTGCAATATCTATAGTGATCTTTCCCTAAAAATGATTTCAATATTCAAAAATAGATGTTTATCAGGATTAATGTGAGCTGTTAATCTTCAGAAAAGAAAAATATTCTGTTTGAACAAACCCCAAGTACATCTGAGAAACTGTAATATAAGGAATTCTGACATCTGAAGATAGAACAATTTGTTTACTGTTTTGTCGCTGATTCCAGGAAGACCTTCAAAGTTTATCACAGCTAACAAAACTGATAGAACTAGTTTTCTTTTAGTAACATGTACAAACCGTAAAAAAAAAAAAAAAAAAAAAAAAAAAAAAAACTCAGAAGTTTTCTTTAAACATTACATGTACCTAAAAATCATATTATATAAAAAGGAGTACTGGGATCTGAATATAATTCATGAAATACATGCTCTGCATTTTTTACATTGAGAATTACATTATATTTGTCCTTCCTATAAGTTCTTTCGTTTAGAATTAGATAAGAAATAATTATTTTAAAACTCTACAAGAAAACCTGCAGGTGGCTTAAATTATTGTCACTGTGCTTATCTCTATTAAATCCAAGAAATTAAAGATTAAACTATATAATGTATCCATAAAATTAAATTCTTACTGTTTCTAAAATCCAAGTTTTTCAATCCTAAACGCTATTGTTTATTTACAGTACATGTGGAATGAAACAAGCCATTTCTTTGAAGTCAAGTTTTTTAAAATTCTGAGACAATTAAATATTCTCCAGAAAACTTACACCAAGAAAAAAGCATTAGACGGTTTCAAATTCCCAAGCAGAAATTTTAAATTCTATTTAAAATGTGTATTTAACTAAGTAAGCTAAAGAACTAAACATTCTTTTTTGTAATGCTGGACACAACCTGTGAAGATTTTCTGCATTTAGATTCAACAATGCTCTTATCAGCAGCTCATCTCCAGAGAGACAATTACCATTTCCTTTGCCTTGATCTTGTTTGTTTAACTTGACACAGTGAAGAAAGGGCTGACATTGACCAAAATCCCCAGCATTAATTTATTTCATGTTCAGCATTCATCATTGCCATGGTGCAAGCAAGACCTGGCATTCATTTGAAATACCTGCCCAAGAAGCACTACAGAAAATAACCTGATTGCCTAGAAACCAATACATTCTTCACATGCAGACTCCTATGGACAGCTACAAATAATGTTCGGGTTTAGTGAATTTCTTGCTTTTAAGGAATAATGTGTAGCATTCAGTATGAAGCTGAAGTAACAAAATTTATTCCACCAAGATTGAATAATTGAAACTTAAATAAGGTGAAAATTGGAAACGGAAACGTTTTAAACTACATGGGCTTGACCAACAGTGCAAGTTTCCTACCTTTTGTTTTTCAGGCTCTTTAGCATGTGAAATCTAATAATTACATTCTCAAGTAAATACAATTCTTAAATGACTGTAAGGGTAATTTCTGAAGCTTCTTCCATAAAAAATTAACTTTCTACATTAGAAATATTGTGCTGCTTCTCTCGATGGAAGTGAAGAATGGTCTAGTAGTGATATTCCATGATATACTTCTCTACAAAGCATGCTTTTTATTCAACCTTTTAAGCCATAATTAACTTGAATTTTATCTAATTTGCTAAATGTAACAGAATGTTCCTTATAAAAAGAAAGAAAAGGAATATGAACCAAATAGCAGACAAATCAACCATTGCTGGCTTGAATCTTTCTTATTTTTCAGAGTAAAGTGACAAATGAGTGAACTGCAGAATTCATTGCTGAACATCCATTTAGGATAATGACAAGCCAAAAGATAAAAGCAAATACACGTTTCCTTTTACCACAACTCACCTGTAAAAACTCATTGAGTTCAACCTGACCGTTTTTGTTCAAATCTACTTCATTTAGAATTTCATGTAGTGTATTTTCATCCATTTGCACATTGATACTCTAAGTAAAATAAATACACAGAAAAATGAAGTTTGGTTAAAAATTATGCACATCTCATTTCTCTTGGAAAAGCTTTCAAAAATTAAAAGCATTACTTGTAGAAAACACTAGATTGGAAGATGTTATATAATATCATCTTTTCATCTTTATATTCTTCTGTTTTCAAAGGTATATTAAGAAGCCTCTCTCCAAATATTACCTCTAATACACGCTGAACATCAACAATGGTAATAAAACCTTTTTGGTCTGCATCAAACTTGTGGAATCTCTTCTTGTACCTGGAATACAGCATTTGAATAATGGTAAAAATACACTTACATAGGATAAGAAGAAAAAAAAGGAACTGAGAAACTCATTTGCAGTACCTGTCAATGTCTGAAGGCAGTAGGCTAATTTCAGAGCGATCTGTTAACTGTTCCGATCGAGATTTATAGCCCATTTCATAATAGAGAAACTTTCTGGCTGTTTCAAGTTCTTTCTAAAACAGAGACATATGCACAGAGTTTAAAATTTTGTAGAGATAAGTATTGATCTTTTTTGTCTTTCTTCCTTTTAGTCTTCAAGAAGGAAGCTGACCTCCACTTACTTGACTAGCATACCTGCATTTGTTTCAGTTTTACTGATACTACACTGACATTCAATAAAATACACTTCTTTACATATACAATATGATGTATACTGTAATACAACCAAGATATCACATTTCCATCACCCTAAAAAGCCTCATTCCATCTCTAGTGAATTTCTTCCCCTGACTTCTGGTCCCAGGCATCTTTTGATTTGCTTTTGGTGGCTAGAGTTTACTTTTTCTAGAATATCATATAAAAGTTTTTACATAGAGTGTAGGTTTCTGTTTTTGACTGCTTTCATATATCAAAATGATTCATGTTGATATATGTTTTAATATTTTGTTTCTTTTTACTGCAGAGTATTCTTACTGCACAGCATTGACCAGCAAATCCTGTAGGACTAAATAAATTGTCATGGTTTGGCAACAAAAAAGCAAATACAAGGGAAGATATCTATTAGCTGAACAACTACTATAATACCACATTCACTACCAAAGCAGATATCCAGTACTTAACTATGTTAAAATTTTGCCCCCAGAATTTTGATAGCTACAGTCAAGAAGAGCTGCCCTCTGCTTCCCACACCCCAGGTCTTACCTGATACTAGGCTGCACACACTGTCCTTAGTGTCCCTCATGTCACTCTCGCATCTAAGTACCTCCAAGCTGATTCTCTTATCAGATACTTTGTTTACAACTCTGTTTTCTCATATATGTGCTCACACACACACTTCTTCCCCATATTCTTTTCAATTCCATTTCTGTAAACTTGGTCATTGAGTTGACTGTGTCCAATGGAACATGGATAAAATACATGGAACTTTCCAATGAAACCTTTGAAAGTAACTTTGTAATTTTTCTTAGCCTCTTGCTCCCTTACCATGAAAACAGCATGACTTGGATGAAATCTGAAGCTAGGCTGGTTATGGAGAAGAGCCACAACAGCTAAGATGCAATTTTTATGTAAGATAAGTAAAAATAAGTGCTTGCTGTGTTAAACCACTGGCACCTTGACAGTCATTGTTATACAGAAATACCTTGAAAAAACCAAACCACATCTTATATGCCTCAATTACCCATCAAAAGATGTTACTATTTCAAGGAGTCCCAAGCTCTAAAATGAGGTGCCAGTAAGTGAAACAAAAGAAATAAGCCAACAACATGCGCACGCTTATATGAAATTTATTTATATGTGTTTTCTTATGCTAGCAGTAAGACATACTACATTTCTGTTGCCTAGGAAGACAAAATTCTTGATATTATTCCTTCCTTTCTTTAAGAAACTTCCTCTTAGGAAAAAAGAACTAGAAATGTTGGCAAATAAAAACTTACCAATGTCAAATAACAGTTTGAGTTTAAAATTGAAAAAGTGAACGTGTGTGTGTTTAAATAAAACTTGTCCATGAATCTCTATCTATGAAGGCACTATGCACTATCAGACTTCTCTCTTCACATAAGAAAATTCACTAGTCATTAAGAAAAATTATTTTGCTATTCCACCAATTTTGACTAGTCACTTTCTACAAACCAGTTAAAAATTCGTATCCTCGGAAATGCCAACTTTAATGCTTCCTCGAACAGTAAGCTCTTACTTAATTCATGTCCGTTCATTCCTATGTAATTTATCCATAGTCCATCAAATAAGGAGTCATGGTATTTCAAAACTAGGAGAGATTTTTCCTTTAGGGTCACAATGTTCCTAACTCCACCTCCTCTATAACATTCCAAAAATGGAAAAATAAGACCCTACCTAAAGTGCTCTGGCAACTGGGAGAAAATTTAATTCCTCTGAAAGTAGTTCAGAAAAGGATGACTCCAATTCTTAGCAAGTTTTATATTGTGATTAAACAACTTCCTCGCAATTCTTTCAACTTGTTTTGGATGAGCAACACTTTGCAATAGGAAAATAAACCTTCTCAATACACGTAAAATAGTATCATGTACTTTCTTCTTCAGAATTTTTGTGTTTCCTGATGTCATTCTTTCTTTTAGTTTGTAACTACTGTTTTGCATATGACATGATGTCAAATGTGTCTGCCATGCATTTCTTTCAGACAGTAAATATGCTGTCATATAACATAATTATTAACAAAAAATATAATCCAGAAGAAATCTGGCAAGTACCTAAAATGGAAAAAACTACCACCTTCATCAGTCTAAGTACATGACTTCTATTAATGCAGCTTAAGAGTATAACTGGATTTGGGAACAGCTATGGTTAAATATACGGTTAACAAAAACCATATATTTTTCTGCGTGTGCTACTAGTAAACCTAATGTACCCTAAATAGATGAAGTTTTTTTTTTGATCTATTGCAAAGTTTACCATTTGTTTCTATTCAATCATACTTAACTAAATTTCACTCATAGTTTTAATTTGTTACCTTTCATTCACCCATTAGTTTTTGGTTAGACAAAAACTACATGACATCAACCTAGATATCTGAACACTTGCCCCAAGTAGACTAAACCTGCTTAAGAGCTAATTATCTGGTATCAGAGATCTCCTCTGAGATCCAAAATGATATTCTGACTGGGTATAAATTATAAAGATCACATGAAATTTTATAAAATATGGAACCCATATATATAATGTCTATATTTCCCTGATTTTACAATCATCTTTCTTGATCTAAAAAGAAAATCAGATATCTGAAATGATTTTTCCTAAGTTGCTTCCTCATAAGCTTCCAGTTATCACCACTGCTTGCTAAATAGGTAATTACAGTAAATACGTAAATGCAGTAATTTAGAAGACCACCCAACAGCAATGATAAGACAACTGTTTATACATACACTACAAACTACATTTTTCGTTTCACTCCTTTTTTGAAATGTGGTACTACATTTGCCCACCTTCTGTCTGTAGGCTCCCATTCGCTGTAATATTTTACAGATAAACAGTAATTAATCCCAACAGCAAAGTCTCTAACTAACATAAACCTCATTTAGCCTTTAATGGAGACAAATGGTAGCCTCCTAGAGTATCTATTCTCCCATATCAATATTTATTTTGCCATTTTCTCACATGAAAGTGGTATTGGGGGAGGAGCAGGGAAATAACATTGGTATTAAACTGTAAGCTGAACATTCTCCCTTCTGTCCAGCATTCGAGTTTATAGAGGTTGGGACATCAAGCAGGATATAGGTTAGGCCTTGCATTCTTCTTGATCCCTGTCACTCAGCCAATTCCTGACACTGTCCATGCACATCCAAACTGCTCCTGCTATCTCATCTGTCGCTGTTGCGCAGCTGTCTCCTACCAGTTTTAAACCTGGTGTTTGTCAGCCTGCTTTGTCAAGTCACCTCACTTCTTCACTGGTTTCCCCCTTTCCTTCCTACTGAAATGAACTTTGAAAATATTTGTTTTTGCAACACTCAATCTACCTAAGTGTTATTTTCTTTAAAGTCAATGAACTGTATCCCTTGTCTGAAAGTTACAAAATCTACTGTATCAAATTCTATAAGGCAGCATTTTCCAAAATATGTCCTAAGAAATATTAAAACTCTTCCTGCTTAGCCCAAAGAATGAGTTTGGTTTGTCCTGAAGTAAGTTCTCTTTTGGACCTGGCAATATACATAAGCATTTCAAAGTTTCCAAATTATCTAAAGAAAGCTTTTCTTTATTTGTTTAACCTAGAATTTCCTACTCCTTTGACCAGACAGTAATTTTTCCTGTATGATCCGAGAGTCACAATTTAGCAATGTGTCTCTCTAAATGTCCTTGCCATGGCCCTATCAACTCTCAGCTCTGCCAGACAACGCCTTCCTCTCTAGCTAGTTTTTCTACATTGATTGGATTTTGGTCTTATATAAGAATTATTCTAAGTATTTCTCTAAATTTTGAAAACATACATCCTGGAGGAGGGGGGGATTTACTGGGGATCGAACTCACAACTTACATGTTTGCCAAGCAGACACTTAAGCGCTGAGCTAATCTCCTAGTCCCATCTATCCATTTTTGAGGTACATGTATGTGTCAACTACATGATTAGATTTCAAGATCCTTCCATGAAACTATGAATCATTTATTATTCCCCTAAAATATTTGGCATAGTGTGCCGTATACAAGTCACTCATTAAGTACTGACCAGCAAAACAACCACAATTCATGTGCACAGTTATTTATCACCTTGTTCCTCTTTCACTTTTACAGGTTAAATACTCCCAATGCTTTTAACCTTTTCACAGAAGTCCAACTTTCTAACCTTTTAATTCTTTTTTTCCCTCCCTCTCCTTTGTTCTCTCTAGACTGTCCTGGTTCTCATTAATACTCTCATGTCTCAGGTACTGAATAATAGGTTTAGGTCTTTTATTTTTGTTACTTTGTAAGGGGAAATGGAAGACTATTTCTAAGCACATAAATCTGCTCACAAAATTTTAAATGAAGTTAAATAAATCTCATTTCCAAACACAACCAGTTTACAGAAATTTTCCCTCCTCCTACCTCCTACAGTTTGAATTCCTTGCACAAAATATGCTGCTACATATTCAATTCATTTCTACTGTAATTTCTGTAAGAACCTATTATCCTCAATCCTTCTCCAGGGTAAAAGTGATTGTCAGGAATACAGGCGTAGCTTTCATTCTTGTGGTGTCTCTGTATAGAGCTTTTGCTGATCAAACTACAACTTAAAACTAGAACAGTTACAAACTAGTATGCCAAATGAAGAAGCAACAGGGCTGGGTGGGGATAGTTTATGCTCTGGGATCAGATTACTGGGTTTCAAAATCTGAGCTTTACAATTTAACTGCTCATAGGAACTGACTAGGTTTTACTATATGAGCCTGTTTCCTCAACTACGAAATGAGATAAAGGTTATCCCAGACAGAAGCACAATTAGGATTAAGGCACTCTGACCAGTGGCCTCCTCCATCAGTTTGCTACAGTACAGTGCATGAAAATCACAAGGTGATAATTTTGAAAATATAGGAACATGTTCTCATCTTTGAAGACTCTGACTCTGGTAGGCCAAGGTCAAGCTTTGAAATCTACCTTTTCCACTGTATTTTCCAGGTAACTCCTATATGTAACCCTCTTTGGGACTCAAGAGCAAAATAAGAATGTTTTATAGACAGGCCAGATGTCTAGTCCTTTCTTGATGATTCAGTATATGACACAAATGCTAAATAATGTTCACTTACTTCATGTGAGAAAATAGCAAGAGGGACATCTGTCTATGATCAGGAAGCAGGATGTCACCCACCTCAAATTTGCTGGTCCATTGATCTTGGACTGTTCAACCTCCAGGGTTGTGATAAATGTTTGTTGTTTAAGCCATGCAGTCTATAGTTTTTAGGAACAGCTCTAATGGACTTAGTTACCCTCTGAGTCACAACTTGTTCTTAGTCTTTTCTCACTTACTCATTAGTTATTACTTTCTCTTTCCTCCTGATTCTTGCTTATCTTTGTAACTTCTTGAGAGTATTCCGGGGATCAGCTTTATGCCACTTTCATCATCTAGCTACACTAATTTTCTCCATGATATAATTCATTTTGATAGCTTAGAAGCCAACTTAAATTAATACTCCATCCCTCTAACTTTTTGATTGATAATATCCAATGGTTTGGATATGTGTATAAGTTGTTAAAGCAGAGACATCAGTGTACAGTCTAGAATAATTCATATGAGAGCTACTAGGAGCCTAAATCAGGATGACACGAGTTGAATGTGGAAAAAAAAGTTGAACCGAAACAGTATTTGAAGATAAATATGCTAAGTCTTACTGATAGATTTAGAGAAGGTATAAGATGTATAATATATAATAGTAACATTTGGGCCTAAGTAACTAGAAGAGTAGAATAGCTATTTATGATTGCAAAAGTCTGTGGGGAATATTTGGAGGACATAGCATGTGATTCAAAAGTGGTAGTCTTCCAGAATGTAAGAAAGCAATTCGAGAAAAAAGAACCAACTATGTCAGATACTGAGAACTGGTTGAGTAAAATGAGGACTGAGAGTTGCATACTGAGTAAAATGGACATTTTGGTAAGCTTGGCCAGGATTAATAAAGCAAAGAGCTGTTGATAAAAATAGCCTAAATGAAATGGACTTAAGAAAAAGCAACTGGAAAGAAACTGAATCCAGTAAGTGCCCAAAGTTTTTTTAATTTATGAAAATATGTCATTATCTTTTGCACATCACAGAAATTTGGGTTAATTAAAAAACATAAAGATCATCTGTTTATCACAAGAAACCTCATCGTTGGCTTTATTATTAAAGTTTAGATATAAATATAAAATCTCAAATGATATAAATGATACACACTTGGTAATCAGACAGTAAAACCACTATGTCATACTAAAGACAAGTTAGCAGGAGTATGAATTTCACTGACTACATTCTAAGAGTACTTTCAATGAAATTCAGAAGAGGTTCTAACCCACAATCATTCACATCTTTCTTTTCCAGGAATGAATTTAAGAACATTCTCTAAGATATTTTCCAAGAACAACAAAATTTTTGTTCAAGAATATATTTCCATTTTCAAAAGCCCAGCAAATGTATAAATTCACAAAAATTTAAGGTTACCATCAAAAAATACTAGTTCTACAAACTGATTCTACTATTCTATATAATACCTCTTTCTTCTTCTCATCCCAATCCAGTTCTCTGCCCATTAGCTCAACAATCCTGGGCAGGGCTTCCTCTGCAGCCTGGACATTGAGAAAAGCCAGGCGAGTGCGACGAGAGATCATGTCCACAGCAGTACAGGCATACTCCTTAATCCCATATTTCACCTAAATTAAAGAAAGACAATTTAAAAAAAGAAATAAAGTTTCACTTACAAAACTGATCCTCTGAAAAAGTGACACTCTGTTTATGCTTTGTGTTTTTCCAGGATGCATGAGACAAATAGTGACATAACACCAGTATTCTATCTTGGAATAAACTGTGTAAGAGCTAATGTCCACTTCCTGAATAGAACCTGGCATTAACATGCAAACTGCACCACTCCCCACTAACTACTCACAGTAATTTAACTACTTACTTCTCTTTGTTTACACATAATAGGGAAGTTATTATAACTGGGCAAAGAAAGAACAGAGAAATGTTAGGATCCTAACTCTGGAGGCTATAAAGTAGCCTGTCTTGGGGAAACCACAGGACACAAACCCTGAATCAATGTAAAAATGAACAGTTTCTGGACACGAGTGTTTTAAAGCTATGAATCACAAATAAAAGTATGATGTCAGAGTTTAAACATTCAATAATGTCAGAAACAAGACTCAAATATTTAAAAAAAAAAAACTGTCATAGAAAGGTATGCCGTCATGAAAGAAATGGGTGACACATACTCCAGATGCAAAAATTCACAAAAGGAAGAGCAATGAATTCACAAGACTTGGGATAGCTCCATCCAGAAGAATGAAGTCTATTTTTATTATTACCACTATCAACACTATTTCAGAATTAGTTTTTTGAATGAAAGAATTTATACTGGGAAGACACACACTTTTCTCAAGTCTTAGCTAACATGTATACATTAAAACTCAGTCTCTTGCAATTTTTAAAGGAAATGAAGACTGAACAGATAAATGGTAATCCATTGCAGACAAAACTGCCCGTGTGATCATTCACATACCTCTGCTTCAATATACGGAAATTCTGACACAAGACGCACTCCAACAATAGGCCATCTTTTTCCAGTCACACTTGCCATTTTGGCCACTTCAAAAGCTTTGTCACCATAGGTAGCAGCAAGATGCTGTGCCACCTACATAAATAAAATTGCATTAGGGAGGGACTTTGACTACCAATCATTTTAGGTACAAAGGGAAAAAAAGTGCATGCTTACCTTCTCAGTTTTCTTACAGCCAGCAACTAGTATTTCTCAGAGAGTATTAGGTTTTGATTTTGAGGGAGGAAACCACTTGGGCTCACAAATGCTTAGACCAGCACTAACTCAGCTACTCATGTATCACTGTATCAGTGACTAATGAAGCTTCAGCCTCATTTTGCTCATGATATCACTTCTGAAGAACAGCCTTCCTTAAACTTAGGAAGGAAAGAATTTGGGAAACTCTGTGCAACAGGAATAAAACAAATGTACTCCAGGTTCTGTTATAATCTAAATGTATATTGATTTTTAGGCAATTGTGGCAAAAGAACAATCACTTTTTTTTCTTACTTTACTTTCACAGTATACACAGAGGAATATACTCAGCAAATGAATACCTAAATCAAAGAGGCCACGTTACGGCTGCTTATCCTGTTGTTAGTAACAGTGAGAGATGAAGTAAGTCAAGTAAGATGATGTGGTAATGACTACTCACCTCACTCTCAAGTCCATAATCCTGGACAAGCCTAATGTACAGTGTCGGGCTCCAATCTTTGCCTCCTTGAAGGAAAAGTCCAACTGTTCTACTAGGTCCTGCTTTCAAATTGTGAAACTTGATTGCAGCATTTACAGTATCTTCTGCCATAGATCGATAAGTTGTCCACTTCCCACCTACAGAAAAATTTCATACCATTAGTTTTCTTTAATTAACCATTTCAACTTATTAATTACCAACATTGCCTATTGTTTATAATAAACATGGCAAACCAATGTTAAGATTCTAATCAGAATCATTAAAAAAAATCTTGTTCATTAGTTAGAAGAGAATCTCGTAGGACAATTAGTCAAGTTCGTATCTAAAGAATATTCAAATAACAAGATGATGATATCTTTACCTGCTATCGTGACAAGGCCACTCTCGCTGATGTCAACAACATGATTTCGGGAGATGGACTGAGTGTCTGCAGACTTGGGATCTGTAACAAGGGGACGGATACCACTCCAAGCTGCCAGGACATCTCCTCTTCTCACTAGCAAAAAGTAGTATTATGAGCTATAATTACTAAAAAAATTTTACCAAAAGTATGAAAAAAATTAATATATAGGAAAGCATTCACTGAAAGTGCATGAGGCTACACTTTAAGGACTGAGCAGCCTCTTCTAAGAACTGAGAGTTTGGATGGGTACAAGAAAAATTCATTGAGGATTAACTGTTCTGTTATAAAGATAATCTAAATCTACCTGAAAAAGAAGCTGGAAACCCATGACGTTAATACAAAACAGGAAGCAAGGAAAAATATTAGCAGCCCTCCATATGGGGCAACCTGGAACAGTTAAAAGTTACTGAACAGTACTCATAATTGACTTAAAAGCAGCTGAGGCTAATAGATCAGATATAGAAATGATAGGTAAGCATATTAAAAGATACCTGGGATTAATAATCATTAGGGAAATGCAAATGAAAACCACAATGAAGTACCATTTCACATTCATTAGAATGATCCTTCTTAAACAAAAACAATACAAGCTAATAACAACAATCAAACCAGAAAACAGATGTTGGTAAGCATAGGGAGAAACTGGGCCCCTATGCACTGCTGGTAAGAAATATAATCAAGCTTAAACATCACGATTTCTCTTATACGAGAAGGCCAAATCATAAACAGAGCAGCATAAAAGAGATAATAGTATGTCTGTAATCCCAGGATTTAGGAGACATGGACGGAGGCAGGAGTTTTTCCATGGGTTTAAGGCCAGTCTGGACTACATAAGCAAACTCAAGGCCAGTCTGAACTGCCTTGTAAGACCCTGTCTCAAAAAAGAAAGAAAAGAGAAGAGAAGAGAAGAGAAGAGAAGAGAAGAGAAGAGAAGAGAAGAGAAGAGAAAGGAAGGGAGGGGAGGGGAGGGGAGGGGAGGGGAGAGGAGGGGAAGGAAGGGAGGGAGGAACGGAAAGGGAGGGGAGAGAAGTAGGGAGACAGATCAGTCTAAAATGGGAAAGAGATCAAGAGATGGAATAATGAGGAACAAGAAGGAAAAAAGCAATTAAGATTTGTTATGTACATGGACCACCTCTCACAAGGAATGTATATATTATGCAATACAAACATGTACTAACAAAAAAAGTAAAACAGTATAACTGCTATGAAAAAGATATGGCAATTCCTCAAAAGAGTAAACACTTAGAATTACTATATGATCTAGCAATCGCATTCCTGAATATACACTAATGTGCATTTAAATCAGAGAAAATGTATACCCCCACTGTTATAGTTCGTATCTAGAAGCCTCCCAAGAAAGTCATGTGCCATAAGACAGGGGCTTCTGTAAAGTAGAAGACTATGGGGGCTCACGGCTGACTTGCCTGTAGGAGGTAAGGCCTTGTTGGAAGAGGTAGGGCTGGGAGCACAGCCTAGAAGGGTTTATCTTCTTCCTCAGAACCTCCCTTACTCTCTCTGATTCCTGGATACCATCCCTTGAGCAGCTATCGCCTCTGCCATAATGTCCTGTTTTGGAGTCACTAGATGGAACCTCTACAATGGAACCTCTATAAACTGAGAGCCAAAATAAATCTCTCCTTTAAACTGCGGGCTTCAGATATTTTATTCCAGTGATGAGGAAAGTGTCTTTAAACATCCATGTTCACATTATTATTCACAGGAGTCAAAAGATGTCTAAGTGTCCCTCAACAGATGAGTGCATAAAAAAATGTGGTACATACATAAAATGGAATATTATTCAGCCTTAAGGAAGGAGATCCTGACACATGCAGAAAACAGATGAACTTTAAAGACATTATCCTAAATAAATAAACCAATCGCAAAAGGGCAAAAATTGTATAATTTCACTTATACTGTATAAAATACTTCATCATCATCAAGTCACAGAAGCAGAAAGAAAAAGAGGGGTTTCCATCAAAGTGTTGTGCATGTAGATGGGAAATTAGTGTTTACTGGATACAGAATTTCATGAGGAAGATTAAAAAGTTTTGAGGATAGTGGTGATAGCTGCAAAAAATCTGTGCACATTTAATGCCATAATAATCATATACTTCAAAATGGTAAATTTTACATTATGTATATTTAACTAAAATTTTTTAAAACCATGACAAAAGGATAAGTTGATTCAGTTCAAGTATTAAACTATAAGCTTAAGGAAATATTTTACATATAATACAGAAGTATCAGGACCTCTATAAGCCTATACTACATTCATGCCTTAGTTCAAATTAATCAATGTATTGGATGAAGCATAGCTTTTCAAGCTCCTGTTTCCACTTTGTATAGTAAATATTCTGTATTCTATACACAGCACCACCTGAAAATTTTATTTTGGTATATATCTTGCAGGCTATAAGGAGTCATAAAGACTTCCAGAAATGATTATAACACATAGTCCTAAATATAAGTGAACCTTACCAAGGATAGGGGAAACACCTTAAAAAAAAATTATACTGAATGACACAAAACTGACCCTTCCCTGTCTTGCTATCAAGTGAAAAACATTTCTGGTAAAGATACATTCAACTAAAGTAATCCAGTATATTTTAAGGTTGCTCCTTTAGGGCTTAAGGACTATGTTCTTAAACAGACTATCATCTGAAAGAAGAGGTGCGCTAAGTGTATAACGAAGCCCATATTCAAACACTGTAACTGAAAAAAGCAGAGAAAGGACATAATTAATTGATGAGTAGGCCTAAAGCTTCTCAGTCTTGCTGACTGGAAATCATTTGAGATCTCCATGTGGGTGGCCCTACATCTGTCCCTCTGATGCCAGCATTCTCTCAAATATGTTTAAACCTGATGGTTTCTGTGTGCAAGGGGTTAACTCGTGCGCTGCAAACTTCTATACGTCATGTAGAAGCTCATCACTATGGAGCACTATTCAGCTGTAAAGTAGGGTAAACTGAGTCTTTTGGGGGAAAACAGATACACTTTAAAAGCATAATGTTGTGAAATAAATCAAACAATTTTAAACTGTGCATGAATTCTCTTATATAAGAAATCCAAAATATAAAGAGCAAAATAAAAGACAGACAGAAACAAAGACAGATCTTGTTGCAAAAGCGAAGGGGGCCAAGACATGGAGGGAGAGGGGAAGGTTATAAGAAAAATTTAGATGTGTTATTTATGTACCAATTTCTCATGAGAAATGTAATCATTATATACTGCAAACTTTTACTAGTTGAAATAAAAAAAAATTTAAGCCCTCAACACAAATAATGCAAGGGGTTTAAATCTTTACAAAAAATAAAAACCTAACTAGAAAATTATTACTACTTTTCATCAGTGTACGCATCACCCTCCAAGTCAAAAACAGAACTTAACCAACACCCACTTACAACGTCCTCGTGGTCACCACAAAGTCCCTCCAATGTCTATGAAATTTCCTTAGGCAGCCCCAAGGATCAGGAATTTAGTTTCAACTCCTGGACGTATCTGACTAATTTATCAGCTGTTTAATGAAAAATTAGACTTTCCAGAATAAATGTAAAGCATATGCAGATAATCTGTGGTGAATGCTTTGCCTTTTCCATTACAGCAGGCAGAAACACACATCTATGAAACTTGTGCTGTCTGAAACAACGAGACCAAAGTGAAATAATAGCTAAGTTCACAACACGTTAAGAACTTTTCTTGAGATTTTAATATTCAGCTTTTTAGTCTGTGAATTATATCAGATGACCATTGGGATTAAATTTATTCAAAAAAATATATATTGCTAAGGATAGTACCATTTAAATTAAAATATCAGTGTTTCTAGCATGCAGGATTTCTATATTATTAGACCAAAAGATGAGATTTAATGACTTGTTTAATCCTCACAAAACCCCTAGATTATTCAAAATGCTATTTATTGTTTAAGTATAACCTCTGTACCCTACCACCACCACTCACATTTAGTAATAACTTGTCAGGGCCACAGTTTATAATCTATGCCCATGGGGCACAGTATAGCTAAACATGTGAAACATTAATTCTAACCTCATAAACTAAAAAATAACAACTAACTGAGATAACAGACTTTTCTATAAACAACTTACCCACAGTGAAAACCTTATACAATGTCAAACAAATTTTAATTATAATTTACTGGAGAAAGACTCTAAAGCATGAATAGATACAGTCAAAATAAAGAATCATTGCCGTATCTTTTAATTCTATCAAAGCTGTTGCAGTATATAACCATGGGTAAAACAACCCCATGATGAAACCTTGGATAGAAAAAAGAAATTTTATTACTGAATCACTGAATTCATCACCTCTTAAACCTTCTTACATCCAGGGTTTTGTTTTACAAGATAATCAATTTCTTTGTTTCATTTAACAATTAAGAAACCCTAAATTAAATGACTCCATTAAATTAAGCATTTCCCAAAGGGAAGCAGTTCTCCCAAAGTCATTCCTGGAAGCAAGCATCACCATGATTCCACAATCCGAAAAGGATCTAACCAAAAAAGAGTTCTACAGATCACTTCTTTAATGAACATACACACGAAAATCAATAAAATACTGGCAACAAAAGGCAGCAAATCATCAAAAAGATCATACATCATGACCAATTTGTGCTGTCTAAAACGAAGAGACCAAACTGAAATAATAGCTAAGTTCCTCACTCATCAGGAAAGATCACACTATGTACACTGGTGTCAGTGTACCCTCATTTCAAGGATGCAGGGATGATTCAACATAACCAAATCATAAATGTATCACATAAACAGAACAAAGTACAAAAATCACATGATCATTTCAGCAGACACAAAACAGGTTTGACAAAATCCAACATTCATTTGGGATTTTTAAACTATCTTGAAGAAAATAGTTATAGGAAGTCTTTATCTCAATCTGATAAAAAGCCATCCATGACAAACCAATGGCCAATATCACCAGAGAGAAACTGAAAGCTTTTCCTCTAAAATCATGAACCACCAGGTATGATAGGGCACATCTGTAATGTCAGCACTTGGGAGGCTGAGGCAGAAGAATTACCATTAATTCAAGATCATCCTTGGCTGCATAGTGAGTTCAAGGCT